TCACGTATTTTTCGCTGTAAAATTTTCACAATTTTCTGGTAACCTAAAAATTTCTTTCAGAGGCTGGACTCGAGTGATAATAGAAAAGCCCTTTGGTCACGATGCAGATAGTTCTTTGAAGTTGTCAAATCATTTGGCGTCATTATTCAAAGAAGAACAACTTTACCGCATCGACCATTATCTTGGGAAAGAAATGGTCCAGAATCTCATGACGCTACGGTACGCTCTGTTGATATAAATATTAAACCCGCCAGTGCGTAATAAAAATCATTGAAGTTCTGCACGTATATTCTGAACGATTAATGAAATGCCAGTATCGATTATACTGTCGATAGGTTTGGCAATCGCATCTTTAGTCCGACGTGGAACAGGGAATGTATCGCGTCTGTCCTTATATCCTTCAAAGAGCCCTTCGGAACTATGGGTCGTGGTGGCTACTTCGATCAGTCCGGAATAATCAGGGATGTGATGCAGAATCATCTGATGCAGATCCTTAGTTTAGTCGCGATGGAAAAACCTGCTTCGGTTCATCCGGACGACATCCGGAATGAGAAGGTACGTGCACTATTTGACTTTGTAAATCGACAAAGATGATTTTTAGACGGTAATACCAACATACCGATTTTAATTGAATATTTCGTGTTCTTATTATATCTGCAGGTGAAAGTATTAAGGTGTATTAGTCCTCTGAAATTGTCTGACGTGATATTAGGCCAATATGAAGGGAATCCGGAAGGAGAAGGGGATGCTAAGTTGGGGTACTTGGACGACCTTACTGTCCCAGAAGGTTCCAACACTGCGACCTACGCGCTTGCAGTACTCACGATAAATAATGAACGCTGGGATGGCGTTCCCTTTATTCTACGCTGTGGCAAAGGTTGGTCAAGGAAGACGATACTCTCGTAGAATTTACTAGAACTGAACAGATATGTAATTGCCGTAAACTGGCTCAGACGTTCCGACATGCAAATGCTCTATAGTCTGCCCAGTAGTTTATGGCCAGTGGAATTTTCAAGGGGAAGACTAGGAGCGAGTCTCTGACTGCACCGAGGAGCTTATCGGACTGAACGTCGAAACAAAAGAAATGCGCCGACAGTGCCACCTCAGGTACACAGACTAGGCCCGCCCGCCAGCTCCGCTAGCTTCTCCATCGGCCAAAAACTACTGCGCCGACGCTGTAATAATAATTATTGAACTACCACTAATTAACAATTGTTCTTTTAAGTTGTGTAACAGCTTAGAGAAATTAAGGGATCTAAAATAATAATATATATTTTGTTTTATTTTATGCTTCTCATAATTTGAGAAACTAAGCGACAGTTTAAGTATACGTTTTGATTCAATCGGAATACTCAGGCTCTTGCTAACTTTTTTTTCAGCTCTGAACGAACGGAAAGCTGAAGTGAGAATTCAGTATCGTGACGTACCTGGTGATATTTTCAGTGGAAAACTGAAAAGAAATGAATTGGTGATCAGGGTGCAGCCGGGAGAGGCGTTATATATCAAAATGATGACAAAGACTCCTGGCATGACATTTGAAATGGAAGAAACTGAGCTTGATCTTACATATGGCAGCAGATACAAGGTATGAAATTAATGTTCCGTGATATAAGGTATGTATTACATTGTATGGACTTGTAAATAAAGAAGTATTCATAATTAGTCTTAAACTACGTTTCAGTAACAGTTTTTAAAATGTGTAATTCTTTAAGATAACATTCACGTCAGTGAACTCGTCGCTGATGTACGTCTACCGAGATGTTTTTACAGTACACACTAAATTTTATTGTAAAAATTCTAGTAATATTTTGAGGTCTGTTTTAGAACTGTAACTGTGCTAGTGGTAATTATATGTGATAAATTAGACATATTCTTAATTGAAATAAAAAAAAAATATTTTTCAGGAAGTCAAGATGCCAGATGCATATGAACGACTGATACTGGATGTTTTCTGCGGATCTCAGATGCACTTTGTTCGCTCGGATGAGCTGTCTGAAGCCTGGAGAATTTTTACTCCACTGCTACATCAAATTGAAGCTGAGAAAGTGAAACCCGTTCCATACATGTCAGTATACGAATAAATATTAACGGCGTGGAACTACAAATATGTTTCATTTTTAATATTACATGATTTACTTTTTTTTTGTACAAAATTTGACCTTCCATTAAAATAAGGAGGGTTGCATAGTTCTACAGTATTAAAAAAAAAGGATATCTATAACCTAACCTAACCTAACCTAACCTAACCTTAGTTTATACTGGTCGAGCAGGAAGAGAAATAAGTTTCATAACAAAACATTTGTTTCTTTTATTTCAGATATGGATCTCGGGGACCAAAGGAGGCAGACGAGATGTGTAATAAGTTTGACTTCAAGTATTATGGTTCTTACAAGTGGGTAAAGAACCATTGAACTGTTTAACAACGTTAAAAGAGAATAATATTTACGACAGATTACGTCATTCCTCACTGCTGTTATTTGCCAGGCCGTGTTAAGCTAACTCGCACTGTCGATAATTTTGGATTGGACTCGTACAATATATTGTATATAAGACTGGTTTTATAAAACATTCCATTTACATTGTGAAATTTTAATATTTTTAGTAATTCAAATATGGTTGTTAATGATTTATAGAAATTACAATATAAATAGCAATAATGATGGGTTTACGTGGTATAATTCAAGAAACGAGGGGACCAATTTAAAACGATACTCCGTTCTAAATTCCAAATACAAAAATTGTGATTAGTATTCTTTGTTCCTTGTAAAATGACTGTAAATTTATTGAACAAAGGAGTTCAGTTAGGGCAGATTAAAAGTGATTAAGGTGTAGTATAATTTCAGTATGAGGAACTTTTGTGGACTGACTTATATTAAAAATTAAAAAATAATGAAAACAAATTAGTGACATAATATTTATTGCTTATATGTGCGTCAATACATTTATGTCAAATAAGTGGCACATCGTATGTCCATAATGGCATTCGACAGCATAAAGACAGTTCTTTATCCCATTATTTATTACATTGTAACCTGGAACGACGTACTTAACATATAATAATCCGTGGCGTAACAGCCCTATGAGAGCCAGAGCCAACTAGCTGGCCTCACGTTCACACGCCTAAGCAGAGGTGAACGATCATCCAACCAGATATAGGATGACGTGTGGTCAGCATGACGAACCCCCAGCCATTGCATAATTATGTAAATTATTCAAGGGTTTCGTGTGGTCCAGATGGCCTTTATAAAATGGCATAGTGATAAACAGTTTAACCTCAAAGTTAAAATCTGGCTGGCGGCCATGTTTTACGGGAGTTTAAATTCCCTGTTGCCACATGACAAATGTTTTGTGCTGTTTGCACAGGCACACACAGATCAAGTATTCCAGTGGCATCTAGGATCGTCATCATGCCACTGGGGGACACCCAGGAGCCAGATTTTAATTTGCTATTCCATGACATACCAGTTGCTGACAATTGGATCTCCAGCCCTCTAATTCTGTTCACTGTCTGATATGCCACTTTTGTAATCAAATTTTATTATAACTGTCACCACATTATTCTTTGAAACATTTTGATCCACGCAGTTCGAAATTGACACATATCGCAGACAATGTATTGTGTACATAATTACAGGAGTTGAAAGCCTTTCTGGCGTGCTCTGTCATCCCAATATTGCTCCGTCTTGGAGTTAAGTAAAATAATGTCTACACAATGGTACATGTACAGATTTGTATTCTTGTGACATCATGTGCATGTTTTAAGAAAATATTTTACAGAAATGACAGTATTCATTAATTCTGAAACACCACTTTCATTAGTGGTGCAGGGTTTACTCAGGAAGGATTAGCATGTCCTAAATAACAGTTTAGAATAAGTTTGTTAAACTTGGGTTGGGTGGGGAGGGGAGGCAGAGTTTTGTTGCACTGCTCTGAAATTTTGTTATACCAATATTTGTTGTGAAATATTTTTCTTTAAAAATATATGATGCTCTGGTAAGGGATGAACAATATTTAAATTATACAGAAACTTTGTTGTACTTAAGATTTTCTGTATTGCCTTTTGAAAATAAAAACTGAGAATACATTTGTTTACATAATTTTGTTTTGCTGATATTTTTTTCATGTTCCGCTATGTGCCATGTAGGTGCTTTGGGGCAGGGGAGGTATAGATTCTACTCATTCTCAACTTTGGCACTAGGTGGGGATGAGTGGTCAGCATCACTCCCTGGCCACTCTTTACCCCTAGAAACAGGGCCCCTGTACCAGCAGAACAGGAGTATGGATGGACCTCACAGTTGGTCTGGACACAAAGACTAACTCCGACACATTATCGGATTGGTATTGAGTTACAAGTAATCATATTCCACTATTTAATTAAGGGAATTAAATATTTTTGAATGAGCGAGCTCTTTGCCCGGGAAAATTTCGAGAAACACAAGCAAACTTCGGCCAAGTGAAATGTTGCTATTGATCCCATAAGCCGAAACTGTCGGGTGTCACCGCGTATATTTTTCCAGTTGTATGCTTATTTAATGAGAATCGATTAGTAATCTACGAGTATATATTTCAACACAAATATATTCATATTAAAATATCTGCAGTAGAGATTATAAATTGCAGTGTTGCTTCATCTTACCGGTTTCGAATCATGACGGTACTAGGAATCTTCTGGATAAGTGTTTAGCTCCCTTGTTCTTGCATTTGTATGCTCCTTTCTTAGTGTGATTCCACGTCAGTTTTTGTGAGTGCTGCAAGTTTGGTAGGCCTGTACCATCAATAAAATGTATAAAATTAAGATGAAACTTCAACTGTAGGAGAGAAAACATGTACCTTACTTTTAATTAAATGTGATATGTGCGCCATCAATCGACACGAACAACGTTGGTCTCGATACTATTCGAGTTCGGCTCATTTTTTTAATTTTCTGTGATATGAATCAATCGACACGAACAACGTTGATCTCGATACTATTCGAGTTCGGCTCATTACGTTCTTCTGTTCGATTACCCAAACAGCTGAAGTGTGAGGTACGTCAGTATAAAAACTGTTAAGGCTGTTTATTATTCTTTTTGCTGGAATGGTATGACAGGAAAGTATATGTAATGGAGAACATAAATGAACTGCGGAAGCGGCAGAGTGAAATTCATCCTGGTTTTGGATCGTATCTGGAATGTATGACAAGAGCTCTCTTTACAGGTCTTGCTGCTTTTACTCTAGGTAAGATAATTTAGTGGATTCCATTTGGGAAAGCTTCTGTGTCCTTTATTAATGGAACACACACAGAAGTTGTAAGATACATGGTTAATGGGGGAAGTAGTGATGCACTGATTAGTGTCCATAGTAGTGACGTATCTGATCTGCAAAGTTTTCATAGCCCTTGACTACATAATTTATGATTTTTATAAAACGTGTTGGATTGTAAATATAATATTCTTTTCTTTCAGCTTTCTCTGGTTCTTTCATAGGACAGTCACTTCTGAAGAAAAATCTTCCTTATGGGAGAAATGGCCACATATTAGCATCAAGCATTCTGGCAGCAATAGTTTCGTACCAAGTAACTACACAACGGACAAAATCTTGTCAGGCTGCATGGATGGCAGCAGAAGATAAGCATACGTACTTCAAGGAGGATCCTGAGGGTGAAGAAACATCATCTTCATAAGCCTACAGCATTGTGAGATAACGAGTTATAGAAGCATTAAAGGAAAGTTTGATTTCTCCAGGTGTTTGATAACATTGTTTCATAATCCTTTTTAAGTTAAAAGGAATTGTAAATATGAAATATCTTCATAATATGATCACTTTTTCTCAAAACAAGTGTCTGAATAGAAGCTTATCAAGCTTTTATAAATATGGTAGATATTTTTCAACAAAGAATTGTTACATGAGAAGCAAGTTGGATGCTGTAAAATACATAACTTGTCAGAGAAATCTGAACATTGTAGGACTCCGAAGGTTTACTCACTTGTGCAGCTTGACTATTGTAAATCTTTCATTCTCTGAAAATATATATATTTCATTTGTAACCAGCACAAAATTCCCTGGTCAGTACAAAATGTCAGCCATAAACAGTTCTCTTCCTGCAGTGTGTATGATCAAGGGAAGTCGTAGTTTTTTTTCTGGTCGCCAGACTTGGAAGTACCAGAGTGATATTAATGACCCAGACAACATTGATGAATGTGAAGACAAAATGGAAGATATTGACAAAGAAGAATATGATGACATGGTCACACGAATGCTCCATTTACCAGATATGGGGCATCAAGTACTTGTTGTTCAGCCATATGTAAAATGGGGCTCTGATAAGAAACGCAATACCACTCCTGAACTCCAGCTGGCCGAAGCCGTTGCTCTTGTTGACACGTTACCAAAATGGAAAGTTGTCGATAAAGTTAGTGACACATCCACTTGGTTAATGTTAATTATACGAAGAAATAATACGACACATTTAATATTGATTAGTGTTAATGAATGTTTGTTTCAGGTAAAGACAGCACTTCACTCTTTAGGAAGAAAAACTATGTTTGGAACAGGAAATTTAGAAATGCTGAAAGAAAGAATCCGCAGAGACAAACAAATAACAGCAATTTTTATTAGTACAGATGTTTTACGAGGACTACAGCATAGGTAATCAACATTCTTCGAAGTCCAGGATTTATTGAATTAATTAATTCCTTTTAAACGAAATTAAAATTGAGTGATATTGAAAAAATAATCAATTTATATGTTTAAGTGCCTGGCAACAGGCAAACAAGGCCAAGTGCTAAAAGGAGGATTACAATAAGCAACGAAAGATGATATTCTAAACAGCAAATTATACAGAATAATATCTGTAGATTGTGTATGATGTCACAGGATAGAAAATACAGGATCAAATGTACAATATAATCCTAATGAATATGAACAAAAGAAAGGTTAATTATAAGTGAGGTTATAGATGTCTGTAAACAATGTCTTCATTGGGAATATTGGCGCTGTTGTAAATAGCATTAGCGATAGAAGTTTTGATGAAAGTAGTCTTAATATAGCTGCATTATCATCAACAGTATGATGAAAAAGCTAACTGTATTCTGTGTTAAACAGAGAATTGGAAGAGGTATTTGGGGTACCTGTTTATGATCGCTATATGGTGGTAATTCAGATATTCAAAGAGCATGCTGTTAGTAAGGAAGCTAAACTCCAGATTGCCATGGCTGAGATTCCCTACTTAAGGTATGTACCTGTATTAAAATTTCCTTCCCAATTGTGGTTATTTGTTTATGCTCTGAAATCTTTAATTCTAATTTAATGATTTTGTCTTGGGTTGAAAAGTTGATTCTTGTGCTTGTTTTCTGAATGTAATTTTTAAAGTGTTGTGCATTTATATCTTAACTGGTCTGCTAAAAGTATGAATTGTGTGCATGATATTGGTTTTTTTAAAAAATGGCTGCAATGTTAAAAATTTTCTTTATCAGCTGTAGGTTTAGGGAGACATGGAAACTGTAAGCGATATTCTGTTTTTTGTTTATCCTGCTTTTTGATCTTCTGAAATGTTATCACCACATACAACTTCCTCACAGTGCCGGCACCCAGAAGCAATAGTGACACTAACAGTTAATCACAGTTCGATCCTGTACTTCTTTGAGAGTGCCTGCCATCAACTTCAGGCTCAGATTCTCAAGGCCACAAAAGAAAGGAATAGGATTCACTAGGCTTACATTCTGACATGGGTCTTCGTTTTGGAACTGTATAAAAACATATCAGATCACAGCAGATATCGTTTAGAATAATTGTGCATAGAAATCTGAAAGAAATTTCTTACAGGATGAGATTGAAAGGCCTAATTGAAGGGGCTGTAGATCATCAGGGAGCTGGCATGGCAGCTATCGGAGGTGCCGGTGAAACTCTGTTTGAAGTTCGGAAAAGGATCCTGAACACACGAGAAATTAAGCTGAAACACATGTTGGAGAAACTACGCAATCAGAGGACACTTTTGCGTAAGAAACGCCATAAACTTGAGTATCCAGTAATTGCTGTTGTTGGATACACAAATTCTGGTGAGAAATTACATTATATTTTATACTCTAGTAAATATTTTGAACACGCAATATGAACCCATCATATGTCAGTTATGTTTTATATTTCGTTTTAGGTAAAACTTCTTTGATAAAGGCTCTGACTGGAGAGAGAGATTTGGAACCCAAGGATCATCTTTTTGCTACATTAGACGTAACAGCTCATGGTGGTGAATTGCCATCTCGTCTGAAGGTGCTGTATGTGGATACAGTAGGCTTCATTTCCGACATTCCTTCCCACCTCATTGAATCGTTTGTGGCTACATTAGAGGATGCTATGCTTGCAGTAAGTTCTGTTTAAGTATTTCTTCTTTATTACGCCTTCTCCTTTACAGGAGGTTGGTGACATATTATGAACAGGATCCTTCCATCCTTTTCTCAGACTGGGACCTGTTCATATATATTTTTTAGGCAGGTAATACAGAAGTGGTTTGCCATTGCCGTCTTCAGTGTGTATGGAGTAATTGTTGAGATGCCACGGAGAAACCGGGGAAGCCCCAGAGGAAAACTCCGTGATGCCTAGACCATGAACTTGCCCACCACAAGTTATAAATTCGGGCACCGCTGGGAATCGAACCTGGGACCCCAGGATTAGAAGGCCAGCGTTCTAACCGCTAGACCGCCGTGGCGGTGTTTTAAGTATTTAGCAGCAAATAACTTCTGTTGTTTACACATTGTTTTCTTTCTTTCTTATACAGGATGTTATTATTCATTTATGTGATATCAGCCATCCTGATTGCAAAGCGCAAGCAGAGACAGTAACAAAAACTCTAAAAATATTGAACCCGAGTTCAAATCTGCTAGACAACATACTTGTCGTGGGAAATAAAATAGATCTTCTGCCAGAAAGAACTCAAATCCAAGATCTAAATTGTAATGTACTTGTATCAGCTGTCACCAACCAGGGTAAGTATCAGTACTAATGACAGTAGAGAGTGGTAATAATAATATTTCCATTGCGTGTCTGCTTCACATTTGGAAGATCCCTGAGTCATTTCATGAGAATCTTTCTTTTTCATCACTCTAATTGCGGAGGCAGTAAATACCTCTGAAGTGTTGGTCAGTTTGTGTCAGACGCAGTGCAATATCCGAGAAGACAGTTATATTCATATTTGCTATCATGAGAACCTGACATTTCACATTGTAAATATTTGCTCGTAATCTAAACTTTACAAAATACTGAGATCCATCTGCTTATAAGAAAAAGCACTGCAGAAGTGGAAACGGTACTTGGTGGTTATCGGGACACAAAACAGGAGAGTCGAATATCTGGACTTGGATTGGGCGGAAAACAGCGCATGCGTATCAGTATATCCGTATACTTGGTTGTTGTTATCTGTTAATTCATATTTAACTGAGTTCATGTGGCGGCTTACAAATGATAATGGCGATATTTCTAAAGCGATTCTAAAATTTATAAGCGAATTTTGGCCTCCGGAGACAGGTTGTAACATCTCATGCATATCCAAAAAAATATATATAATAATTTGTCATTTATTGAAATAAAATATAATAACTTTCAAGTATATATCATTTATCCACACACATTAACCTAACCTAACCTAACCCAACCCAACCTAAACTAACCTAACTTAACTTAACCAAACCTAGCCCAACCTAACCTAACTTAACCTAACCTAACCTAACTTAACCTAAATTATTTTTAAAGCAATGTGTCCCGATAACCCACAAGTACCATGGAAACTTTAATTTATATAAAGAAAGGTTGGTAGGTGTTTATGTAATAATTTATGTACTCCATGAATTTTCAACATTCGATAAGTTTTTATTTGTAACGTGAACAGCTGGGACAGGATGTGTGTGATCCATTGGCAGA